AAAGTGTTTTCCTTTTGTAATTAAATTTGGGCCCATGGGACTTGGGGGGGCAGGCAGTGTGTGGTTACTCGGGTTGGGGGGCAGGCAGGGTGTGGCTATGTGGAGGATGGCGCACAGATGGGCCATACGGAGGATCAGCAGGCAGGCGTGTCTGACTCAGACAGGCCAAAATGACCATTTCTGCCTCTCGAACAGCTCCTGGCTGGACAGGGGCAGCTGGCAACTCCCCCTGCTCCCAGGGACGTGTGTATGGGGGGGGGAGCGCTGTCTGTGGAGCTGGATCGTGCTGCGCCCATGAGTGGGGGGAGGTGGGGACTGGCGGGAGGAGACGGGGTCTCCCTGGCGGGCGGGTCGTTCTACCCCCGGGCGCGGCGGGAAAGGGTTCTGGGCTCCCCCGGGGGGGAGACCGCGCCACGCCCAGCCTCTCTCTGGGCGGGGCAGGAGGGGGGAGCAGCGGGAAACCCCGGCGCCACGGCCAGGCGTCGCCCTTCGCCTCCACGGCAACAAGTCGCTGCCGCGCACGTGCCACTGGCTAATGGAGACGCTTGTGGGCTCGCAGCGAAAGGCGGAGGCGGCTCCAGCAGGTCAGGGCAGCAGCGGCAGATACGCGGCAGGGCGAGCGGGGGCCTATTGAAGCGCGGGGCCCGGGGCAGCCGCCCCGCTCGCCCTGCCCTATATCCGCCGCTGCTGCCAGACTATTTGTCATTTAAGTTTTTCTAGTTCCAGACTAACTCGGCTCCCCTCTGAAGCTCACTGAACTCTGCCATTCAGTGCTGCTGCCACGTCAGCTGTTTGCCGTGGCCCTCGTGAAACCCTCCAGGAAGAGGCTGCGAGGGAATAAAATGGAAAATCAAAGCAACGACATGAAAAAGAATCGGGACAAGTATGGGCTTCGTGAAGTCCTGTTACAAGACTGGAGTGAAGCAGGAGGCACCTATTTTCAAAGCTTTGACAGATGCGATCGAGAAACTGGCCTCCTTCATGCAGCAGGGCCACCTAGCTCAGAGCAGACCCTGCAGCGAGCTGGTTCTGGAGAAAACACCCCACAGTGACGTGTCTTTGAACTCTGGCCGGTTGCAGCTAGTTTATGCTCCAAAGTCTAACAGTCTATAGAGCCTTGTTACCTAACGGGGGATGTTCTAATTATCTTTATCAATACCGACGTACGTATTGATTCGTTATGGAGCGCTTGGTAACCTTGTGGCAGCGAGTTCCACAGGTTAACGGTGTGGCTTGTCTTGAAATGTTTTCACTTTTGTCTTGGGCCTGTTTCACTAAATGATTTCACTTCCTTGCTCTTGTGCTATGGGGCAGGGCAAACAGGAAGCCCGACTGACCTCCTCTATCCCAGCCACTGCCTTCCCCTCCCTTACTTATTTCTGCACTACCCAGTCCTGGGTTTTGCAGTTTCTCGGCTCACAAAAGTGTTTCTGGGGTTCTGATCATTTCTGTCACCCAGCCCCCATGTCTGTGCTCAGTTTTGAGATCGACAGACCAGAACGGGGCGTAATAGTCCTGGTGACGACCTGCTGTAGGTCACAAGCGAGGCCGGGTCACCAGGAACGGGCTGTACACGCTCCATCGCCTGTGGGCTAGCCCTGCTGGGGGTGCCCGCTGGTCTCTTGGCGCGGAAGGGAGCGGGCTGAGGAACCGGCTCTCCCTAGCCGAGCCACAGCTGGACTCTCGTTGCTGTGGATCACAGAGCCCCGCGGGCCTGCGAGGGAGAACAGCAACTGGAACCTGAAGCAGCGGGGATAGGGCTGGGGATGGGGCAGGCTTTGTACAGGGGGCTGGCTCACCCCATGCAGCTCTGCCCTGGAGGCCAGGCTGGGCCCGGGCCCGGGCCCTCCCCCTGCTCCTGAGGCCAAGGGGCGGCTGGACTCTCGTTGCTGTGGATCACAGAGCCCCGCGGGCCTGCGAGGGAGAACAGCAACTGGAACCTGAAGCAGCGGGGATAGGGCTGGGGATGGGGCAGGCTTTGTACAGGGGGCTGGCTCACCCCATGCAGCTCTGCCCTGGAGGCCAGGCTGGGCCCGGGCCCGGGCCCTCCCCCTGCTCCTGAGGCCAAGGGGCGGATGGACACAGAGGGGCTGGGCTGCAGGTGGAAGGTGGGAGGAATGTCGGGAAACTCAACGGGGGGAGGGACTCAGGTCAGGCAGGCACAGGGAGCTCCTCGCGCTTATCCCACATGGGCTGGGCCGGCCCC